CGCGGGGAAGTGGGGGGCAGTGGGGACTGGTCCTTGCTGCCTGGCACCCATACTGCTGCTTCCCCATGGCACAGGTGCAGCACAGCTCCCCACACTGTCTGGGAGCTGGGGTCGCTCAGGCTGAGTGATGCCAGGCTCCGGGTGACAGCTGGAGCTGCCCCAGCTCCCAGACAGCATGCGGTGCCCTGCCAAGCTGCACTGTACTGTACCTATGGGATGGGGCAGCGGCAATGTGGGTGCCAGGTAGCCGGGGCCAGTCCCTGCACCACACCAGGTGGGGGGCCTTTGCCATGTGTCCTTGGTGGCCCCAATGGCCACTGCTACAGCCTGTGAGTGTGGGGCTTCTTTTTTTTTTGAGTGTTAGGAGGCTGGGGCTGAGTAGGGCAGTGATGGTGGGCTGGGGAGTGGCTTGAGACAAGCCCCTAGAGGAGAGGGATGGAGATGAGCCCCTGGAGATGAGTGGGAGATGTTCTACTCATCTACAGCCTCGTGCTCATTCCCCTGCTCATTTTCTTGCTTGTCTCCAGCCTTGGGAGGCTGAAGATGAGCAAGAGATCAAGCAGGGGGCTGGAGAGAGCAGGGGAATGAGCAGGGAGCTGGAGAGGAGCAGGGGAACGAGTAGGAGGCTGGAGATGAGTAGGGGAACTTCTCCAGCTCATCTCCAGCCTCCTGCTCATTCCCCTGCTCCACTCCACCCCCCTAATCATTCTCCTTATTGTCTTCAGCCTCCTGCTCATCTCCAGCCTTCTGGAATGAGCAGGGGGCTAGAAATCAGGGGGAGCAGCAGGGGGGCTCTAGGGGGAGTGCTATAGCCCCTGGAGGGGGCTGGGACCCTTCAGGGAGGGCAGTCCATGTGCTGTGAGTGGGGGCTCTTCCCTGTGGGGGGCAGGGGACCCACCCCTTCTAAGCAACCTCTGCCACACAGGGCCCCCCCATATCCACAGTCCCCACACACTGACCACCCCCCCCATCCCTCTACACCAGGACAGCTTTTTATACTGCTGGGGCCAATCCAGCAGCTGGCACCAGCCTCTAGCTCCCCCTGGCTGCACAACCAGATAGAGCCAGGCAGAGCTATTTTGCCTCTAGTGGTACAATTTGCACCACACTAAAGTGTATGTCTGGGCACATGCCCTGAGGCAAAAAGCCCCAGCTCAAATTTACATCACTTCTATTTGAGCTGATGGAAGAGCATGTGTCTGTATGTGTGGAGGCGCCCACAGAGTTGTCAAAAACACTCCAAAGTGTTGCATCCATCATCCTTTCTCTCTCTTTCACGCCTCCCCCCCCCATCTCTTTCACTTCACTGACATCTAAAATGTTGTAGGCTTGTCTGTGCAAGAGTGAAGCTTAAATGTGTTTTCAGTTATAGTCCCAATTAAGTTTTGATGTCTTAGAAGCAGAGCCAGATCAACCCTTTAGTTGGCCCTAGGCAAACAAACTCGTGGGCCCCTACTTAATACTATATATTTATATTACTTTTTGCACTCAATAATTGTAATATGTAAAATAAGCACAACTGGGCCCCTTCTTAACTTAGAGCCTTAGGCACGTGCCTAGTTTGTCTGTGCATTAATCCAGCCCTGCTTGGATGTTCGTATACTTTAACTCTCATGATAGAACCTTGTCTCAGAATGGCTTCAGAAAGAGTATGGGCTAAATGTTGAGGTGATCTGAAAAATTGTGCAAAGATTTCCTTGCAGATACAGAAACATTCTGAGTTGCTCTAATTCAACTAAATGAAAAAACTTCCTGACCATTATCACAATAAGTGTGTTGATGCCTGTATTTTTTCTTAGATACATGCATATTTTATATGCATGCATCAGTTAATTTTATTACAGCCCAGTTCCTATTAAGCAGCAGGTGGGTATATTAATTAGTGGAAGGCAAACAGCTTTTGCAGCTAAAGTTATGAAGCAAACTATGTAGGAATCTGTAATTTTTAAAAAAGTTTCGTTCATGGATTTTGATCTCTGATCATTAACACAGAAACCAATTATCTGAAGTGTTTCATAGATTTCATAGACATTAGGGCTGGAAGGGACCTCGGAAGATCATCGAGTCCAGCCCCCCACCCAAAGGGCAGGAAGTCAGCTGGGGTCATAGGATCCCAGCAAGATAAACATCCAATTTACTCTTGAAGGTGTTCAGTGTAGGTGCTTGAACCACCTCCGATGGCAGGCTGTTCCAGACCTTGGGGGCTTGGACAGTAAAGAAATTCTTCCTTATGTCCAGACTGAAACGGTCTTGCAGTAGTTTATGACCATTCAACCTTGTCATCCCTTGAGGCGCTCTGGTGAACAAACGTTCCCCCAGATACTGGTGGTCACCCATGGTAAACTTATAGGTGGCCATCAGATCACCCCTGAGCCTACACTTTTCCAGGCTAAAGAGCCCCATGGCTCTCAGCCTGTTGTAAGATCTGTTTTCCTGACCTCTGATCATGCGAGTGGCTCTTCTCTGGACTCTCTCAAGCTTCTCCACATCCTTTTTGAATTGTGGAGCCCAAAA